CCGCCCGAACTCTTATATTCTCCCCCCCCCCCGGGAAAAAAAAAAAAAAAAAAAAAAAAAAAAAAAAAAAAAAGGTATATATAGTAAGGAATAGCAATAAAATAAAAGCTAAGGCTGATTTCTCTCTGGTTTCCTACTTCTGGAACACCCATTATGGAATAAAGGTGGTGAATACTCATAGCTTCTGTTGTGCTTCCTTGGATGTCCTCAAGTTGGCTGTAGATACCAGCTCGGCTCTAGAAACAAGCTGCCAGTTAAGTGCTGCTGCACTGACAGCCAGGGAGGCCTGACACACAAGACAGGTCCTACACACACACACTTGATGCAGTTTTACACTTGATGAGAGAATGTTGCATTTGTAAAAAATAGTTATTTGGCTGCTTGGACCAATGTTAAGATAGATTGAGTTTTGACCATTAACTCCATGGCAGTGTCTATTTAAACATAGAAGTGTGTAGGACCAGAAACAGGCCAGAGACCACAGCATTGGAAACAGCACTAGAACCCACAGCTACATATGGCAATTAGCATTTAGATATTTAAGCCTCAAAACAGTCTGTCATTGGTACGCCTCGCCAACTGGCAAAACAGGTATTTTTCTCTCAGCCTCAGCTAGGTGGATTTGGTGGCAGCAGCTCCCTGCCTCTCTGTCACACTACCTGCATGCTCCGGTCATGCCCGTCTAACTGCACTTTGAGTTTGTGAAGCTCTTCGATCTCCCGGTTGTGGCGCTCCGTTTTGTGCCGCACCAAAGAGCGGTAGAAGTGGATGGTGAAGACGACAAAGATCAGCCCCACGGGGACCATGATGATGGTGGAGACCAGGGCTGCCTGCCAACCCGCGTGGCCGCTGGGCTTCTGGATGGTCGTGGTGTCGTTCTTCATGATGGAGTCCACGGGCAGAAATTTGATCCAGCACAGAAGCACAACTTCCGCAAGGAAAAGGAGGATCCCCAAGACCGTGGAGAAGCCCCACGCCAGCTCTATGTAGGGGTGCATGCGCTCATGTGGGGACTCGCTGATGGAGTTCAGGTTGTGGATGTTGCTCACCGCTTCCACGTTGGGCAGGATGCAGGTGCTGATGAGCAGGGCAAAGAGATGAACGGCCACTAGCACTGTCGTGCAGGCGCTGAAAGCGATCAGCAGCATCTGGGGGTACTTGTACTGCATTTCCAGCTGCACCTCCACCATGGCAACCTGGGGGAAAAGCGACAAAAGAAAAAACAACCGTCAACAGCTGCTAGTTTTCCTGTTTTTCTCCTTACAAGGCGTGCATCCAGGAAAGCATCTTTACTCAGAAGAAGCACCTAAGGTTAAGTACACACTTAAATGCCTTCAGAGTGGCAGCCCAAATAGATGATCCTCGTTTCCTGTGAAGATGTTCACACAGTCTCCAGCCTGCCCTTCCTCAAGGGTGATGAGCAAATTTCTGCACTGCAATTTTATGCAATAACAGCTCTCTCCTTGCAACCATGAGCCATATGAACTGCATCAAGCCGTACGCACAACAGAAGGAACCCATTAAGCAACAAGTGCAGCGTGGAGACAGCTGACAGCCCGCGAGCCCTCCCGCCCATCGCACCTTCCTCTTCCTCTCACCACTAGCGACGGCAACGCAGGAAGCTTCAACTTGAGCATAAAGAAACTCAGCTCGAGCAGAAAGAAAAGCAAAAGCAGCAGCACTTCTGGCCAGCTCCCAGAAAAGTTACACTACATCCCCTGGGAGACATGCAAGAGTCTTTATAGCTAAAGTTATTCCATGGTTAAGATAGTTTCCTTCTATTCTTGGAACATCTTAAGTTCTTTTTATTACAAATATATCCAGAAACAAGTTATTTATATCCTCAATTTTTTCCCTTGAGATCTAATACCTTACTGATATACTTAACAGAAGTGGACAGTTACTGGTTTACGGATATGTTCAACAACTCCACTAAATAGCTTCTGTTCCCAGAAAATAGGCTGGTATCAAGTAAGTCTCTAAAGTTATTTAGTTTGTATGCACAGTGTGGATTTTTTTTAATCAAGTAAACTTAATACACAGAATAAGAGAGCAAGGAGACCTTGCATGGGCTTGTAACTGAGTATAAGAATTTGGAAAACTATTCAACCTATTTGTGAAGTAAAAAAGCCAACATAAGGGCTTCGTGGGCTAGGTTGTGAGGTGTCCCCCCGCCCTGCCAAGAGGAACGCAAAAACTCTCTACTAAGAGAGGCTACAAATACAGTTGACAAGAACCCGAGACATTCCCCTCTACTGCCTCTCTAGTGCTTTGTTTGGATGTGCAGCTGCCCTTAGCCATTTTCATGGACAGTAAAATAAAGCCTGTCAATAAGAAAAACCTTTGGCAATCCCAGGCAACTTGTTGTTCTAATGCAGCAAAGTCTGCTGCAGAAAAGGAGGAGCTGCTGTTTGCATACCTGCCTCAGGGCAGCTCCTCTCAAGACCATCATGAGAAAGTAAAGCCAGAGGAGAGAGCTTGATTCCAGGAGGTAGAGATGGATTTTGCAGAATAGACCCATCATTTCTTTATCCAGCCTTCATAGCAGGCCAGTGCTGCACAACCGTTTCAGTCTCTGAAAAATCATTTGTGTTGTTCAGTCTGGCATTGCTTGATGATGTTATTGAGGCAGTGAACAATATGGGATGCACTCGTGCTCTCACTGTTGGTGCCTCTGAAGACATTTAGGAGGGGATGGAAGCAGTGCCTGTGCTGGCATGACTACTGCCTTATCCACACTTACTTTGCAAGCATCAGCAGCCTGGGGGTGATGAGGGTATCACAGTCAAGCCTGGCCACATCTATTAGCAGCCAATACTTAAAATTTGGGTGGCAAACAGCCTCTGCATGCCTAGATTTTTACAACTACACGAGCTCTTTAGGATATTAAAGACACCAAAATACAAGTGGACAGTGCTTGGCAGTTCCCCATGTGTTGATTGAAGGAGCTGAGACTCTCTGTTGCCCTGTTCTGTACAATACGTTTGTATAGTGCTGTGACTGTCACCCACACCGTATCAAACAGCAAAAAACTACAGCTGCACTGTGCAGTACTGGATGCTATAACACCCAGAGACCCGGCATTCAGAAAACTGATGGGGATTTGTACCTATACACACAATTTATAGCTTTATATTAAAGCTGAAAGCCTGGCTGGTGTCAACACACCAATTTTGGCTTGTTTTCCTTCCTGTGAGCAGCAATTTTCAGCTAATTGGATGTTTCCTCCCAGACTAACCTATTCCCTAGGGCTAGCTTCAGCTGTGCAATGTGATGAATTTTTAACACTGACTGATGGGTCAGGAAGAGGCATTTTGGGGAAAAACATCAACAATCAGACAGGGCAGCAAGGCAGAAGAACAGTTCATTTAACCAAAGGGGTACCAGAAAGGTGAGCGAGTTCTTACCGCCTTACCCCATGACATATCATGTCATTCTCTGACCAGGATAAAAGAACGAGGACAAGCTGACATAACCCATTTAAAAATAATTAAATATGATGCTTAGCCTGTAAAACTATTATTAATGTCATGTTTGATACCATTATACTCTTCTGTGATAACAGCCCCTTTTATTTTAACCTCTTTCCAGAAGCCAAGATATTAAGGGCTTGACTTTGCAAGGCACTAAAGCGCTCTGCTGAGCAGCTGAGTATTTTAGCACAGATTTAATTTTAAGTAAGTTGGAGAATTGCACTGTTAAATTCAAGTCACAGGTTTGCTAATGGACCATGTGCTGAGAACAGCTTAGAATTAAACTGAAATTAAATTACATGCAATTATATTTTTTTTTCCAGATCAGAACAATCCCCAGATTGTCCACAACAAAGATGATGCTCATCTTAAGAAATGTAGACCAAGATTGATAATACCAGGCAAGGGGATGACAAATGGCTTAAGATAAAATATTACATTCACACAGATGGTTTGGCAGCCTGTAATAAATATCAGTCCAGTAGATCTGTAGGATTTTTTTCTTTTGAAATATCAAACATACCTATCTGTAACATTTGGACAAATGTTGAGAAGACTGGCAAGCAGTAATAGCTCTTATCCTTACTAGGAAAATGATTAAGGTTTAAGAAGCTCTCTCCGAAATAAATTTAATATTTCTGAAAAATACTAATCTAAGTGTTAGCAACTTACCTCCTTCACCCACCTAGTCTTCCTAGGGCAAACCCAATATCCACATCAAGTTACCCACCTGCAGACAGACCTAGAATGCAATCACAGCCTTCTGGCCTGCCCATCTGCCTGCCAGAAATACCAAAGATAGAATCAAGTAATGAGGAAGGTTTGAATTATTCTACAGCCTGTCCAGAAGGAGCTGGATCAAAGCCACTGCCTGTTGATTAAATAGCCATCAGCTAGTAATAATGTTCAGCCAACATGGAACTGGCTTGAATAAAACACATGGGCAGGGAGGTAAATAAAACTCTAGCCAAGCCCTGTATGACATTTGTTGACATAGTTAAATGCACATAAGACTTCAGGGAAACTATTTAACTCCGAATAGCTGCTCTACTTTTATCAATAGCTAAATTGATGCTCTTATTAGAACAAAGTAAACAACTCCTTACTAAATACCTGTCTGTCAAAGCACCAATGAAGGAAAAACAAGAAAAAAAAAAACATTGGTAGAAAAGGATAAATAAATCACCTTTTACTGGAAAGCCTGATATGATCAGCTGGGGAAAGCTTGTTAATAAGCAGAATGCCAGCATTGCAATACTTTCATTTCTGAGGATTCCCGATTTCAAATGCACTTAACATTAAGTTGGTGATCTAACATCAATGTCATTTGTACCTATATGGTTATTTTATTTGATTTTTCAACGTTTATAATATTTGATTAAAAGGAAGCTGGCACTGGCCCTGGAATCCAGCCCTGAAGACTGAAAAATGGAGTGGTCAAGGAATCCTCCAACAACTGATCAAGTAATGTGAAGTAATGTGGTTTAGTTTGTACTTTTGCTGAAAAAATATTCAGCACTTTGTTCTGCGTGTTGAGGACAAATGCTTTGTTTCCAGACATGTGTTTGAGCCCTGCAAGGCGGGCAAGCTCTGAGCTTCCATGTCATGCCAGGGATCCCAGCCGACAACGCCGGATCAGGCTGCCTAGGTGTAGCATAGCTCACTACGGAATCGTCTCTATATGCATTTATTAATCATGGTGAATGAGGACAACCACAGATAATTAGCACAGAACTCAGTAACCTAGGGGCACGTATAGCCAAGAAGTGAAATGCTTTTTAGAATAAGAAAGCTTGCAAATCTTGAAAAACACGCTTAAGGAGGTTACTCCACCTTTTTAAAATGAGAAGCTACCTTCTCTGCCTGTTTTAGCACATAAAACCTGATCACAAACCAATACAGGTTACATGAACTGTTTTTCAAGCATCTTATGCATGCAGTCAGCGAGGAAAGAGGAATCACAAAGGAAACAAACAGCCTTCCTCCCTTGCAGACTGCCACCATTAGCTTCCTGCTCACAGTTTTGCAGCCTCTGTCCCCAAAAACATGCTTGTCTCCCAAAATAGGATTCACCATCATAATATCATAGCCAATTTATGTTCACAGAAGTGGGGAGAGAATAAGGACAAAAGAGCTGAAATAAAACAATGGAAATCATCTGAAAAGTTCCCAAGATCGCCCTCTCCCACCCAGGGCTCCCGAACTTCAGGATATGACCCTATAACCTCTCTCACATCCTGCCCTCTGCAAGCGTGTGCTCAGCAGCCCATCTTTGAAAAAAACCACAGCTGCCAGTTTCCTGAGCAGAAAATCTCCCCAAAACAGATTTCAATTCTCACTCTCAACATGCAAGTAGCAGCGGGAAGATCAGGAAGCCCATCCCGTTGCAGCACGTCGGGGCTTTGCTAACACCACAGCTCAGCCAGGCTCGGACGCTTGCCTGCTAATGGTCTGTGCTGTTTATTTCCGTGCTCCCTGACATGGTTCTGAGCTATGCAAATAGCTTCCAGATAACACCCAAGTGCTGCACCCAAGGAAAGCAACTACGAGGGATTATTTCCAATAGGCAGCACTGACAAAAATACACCAGGTTTGGCTCCCTTGCAGCTGCACAATCCTCTCAGTACGGAGCCTGAGCATGCACAGGCCCCGATGATGCACCCAGTCGTATGCCCCATCTCACGGCTCGCGCTGCGCAAACTCCCCTCTGGCAGGCTGCGAGCCAGGCTCCATCTTATTTCAAGGCACTGCAACCTACAAACATAGAGCAAGTAAAACAGTATTCTGAGCTACAGGAACCACGGGGTGCACAGGAGCTCCGTGAGCAACTGCAGCCTCATGTGAAGGCAGCCAGGGACATGTGGCCTGGGGGCCAAAGCAGAGCCTGGGTCCTGTTTGTTTAGCAGGACTCATGCACCCCTCGGGGCCACTGGCAGGTAAGGAACAGTCTTTTACAGGGCTGCTTTGGGAGCGCGTGGGCCGACTGTTAGGCAGTTCGTTACTCATCCTGCTTTGAGGGGGGCGACCTCAAACCTTTCAACGGCAGCCAAACAGAAACCCACAGACAGATGCCTCCTACCTCTGCAGAAAATAACAGTACATCCTCCTCCTTCACAGGAAGGAAACAACACTGGTTAACAGATGATTTTTACAGAGCCCAAACTTTCACAATCCAATCTTTTTTTCTTTCCCCTCTGTGTAATAAACCTACCATGGCAAATCCAGAGAGGAGAGCAGAGGTTCTGCTGGAAGCTTTGAGTTTGGCTCGGCTAAGGTAGAGTTTTCTCCATGAAAGGGCCTGAACAGAGTGGTGATTTGACGTGACCAATTCCAGGTAGCTGCGCCGGACCCAGTCCCGATAATCCATGCCTTTTGTGCCAGGTTCGGAGCAACAAGCAGGAGTGGAAGGATCCACTGGAACATTTAATTCAGAACTCATGACGACAGGAATGCTAAGGAAATAAAACAGGAGGTAACAAAAAGAACAAGTATCAGCTACTGGTATACAAGAAACTGGAGGACTAGTCTAGAGAAAGGATATGATAGGAAAAAAAAAGCTACGTTTGAAAAAGTTAACATCAGTCAGAAGATAAAAGAGGGACCAAATCATATTGATTTGAGACACACAAAACAGACACGGGACCATCTGTAGTTGCTGAAAACAACCACGGACCTCATCACAGAGTTCAGGTGGGCACAGCTCCACCCCAAGACTGGAAACAGTCACACAGCTGAATGCTGCACAGGGTTAACAAACACATTTGCTGAGCTGCTGCTGTGGAAAGTTACATTTCTTAAAACACTCACACCCACACTCCACTTATCAGCCCCATCTGACCACTAATCGTGTTCCATAGCATCCATTAGCGCCTCTTAGCACAGGGGAAGAGAAACAATTCCAAGGAAAAAAAAGCAATCTTCATTCCAGGGAGTTCCATTGTGCTCAGACTCAGGAGGCTACACTGAAGATGTGAGAAAGCAGCAAGATTCTATCAGGTGGTTAATGCCATAGCTATCAGCACAGACAAGTTCAGCCCCAAATCAAGCCCCTCCTTGTACCACAGCTTAGTCATGAGTTTGCCTGAAGGACTCCCCTTATCTCAGCATTGCCTACAGACAGAGAACAGAATTCACATTATATTTTGAGCAAGAATTTGTCAGCTCTGACAGGCATCTGAAACTGTCAGTCTGATTTCCCGTCTGCTGAAAAACGGAAACGTTGATGTTCCCGATTAGCCCTCATGTCCTCAGGTCCATTGCTGACCTCACGGACACAGGAGGCATCACACGGGACACCTAGGGCTAGAAATACTTACTAGCTCCCAGAAGGGAAGGCCATGCACAGACCCACACATGGGGTTGTACTAATTAGCCTCAGCACCACACCTGGAGAGCACAAGCACCTTGCTGCTCATTTGGCATGAGCTCAAGCCCTGCCTGCATCCCCCCTGCTCCAGCCAGCTCTGCACATACGTAGGCCATATGGTGACAGAGACAGCAACTAATAAAGCAATGCTGGCTGTGAGATTTGAGGAAGTGGCAAGGATAAAAGGGCACCGGCTGCCCATGACTCCAAACGTTACTTTTAAAAAGGAACAAGGCTGTTCTGGGCACCACTGCAGCAGCAGATAGAGGAATGCATCCCAGCCTGAAAGATTTTGTCTGTCCTGAGCACTGCTCTTCCATGAGCTTTCAGATTTCGTGCCCTCTCAGACAGAAGGGCGAGAGCACAAGATAGCTCCTCTAGGCAACTTTTGATAAGGTGACATTGCATGCCCTGCAGCAGTCGTGTTTTCTGGAAGCTATCTGCATATCAGGGAGCAAGCAAATAAACAGCACAGAACAGCAGCAGCCAAGTGTTCGAGCCTGACTTAACTGTGGCCTTAGCAAAACCCTGACATGCTGTGGTGGGATGAACTTTCTGATCTTCTCACTGCTTCTTGCATGCTAAAACTGAGTGAAATCTGTTTCGGGGAGGTTCTGGCCATTTCTTGAGCAGAGATGTGGCTTGTTTCTGAGGCTAGCTGCTGAGGGCAGGGCGTGAAAGGCCCACTGTGGCTCCTGAGCTGCTGAGGAACTAAGAGTTCTCATACTTGTTGGAGGAAAGAGAAACACATCTGTTTGTAAAAGACAAAAGGTTGTTTATAAAAACATGCCAAGGATCACAACGGTACAAAAAAGAACACAGTAATACAGAGAAAACTCCCTGCTTCCTCTGCATTTCCAGAAAAGGCAAGAATTGCCTATACTTCAAAGATTAAAAAAAGTATATATATACTCCCAGGCCTGCAACAGGGAATGGAGCAGGACTCTGCAAGCTGTGTTTCCTGTGACAACATCCTATGCCAATTCCCCAATGCCTGCTTTGGGGTGAACTTGCTAATTTTGTCCTTGGTTAGGACACTGAGGGCCTCTACCCTGCCATTTATTTTCCCAAAATGCATAGGAACTTAACATTTTTGAAACACCAACGCCTGGACAAATTCCATTGAAAAGGCAAACGGGTTCAGAAGCTCCAGAGGGACAGCAGGCGCGCCCAATCACATTTGCTTGTTTACTTTGGAAAACAACCCAGAAATACCACAAGGATGAACTTTCACCCTGGAGCAGCTCAAGGGATGTTCCCAAAGAAGCACACAGAACTTCAACATAAAATCCATAAATGCAAATTTAGCCCCAACAGGCAACAGTGAGCGACAGACTCACCTTGGTGACGAGAGGCATGGAGGGACTGGGTGGAAGGCTCCAAGGGCTGAAACACAAGACCAAGGAAAGGTTTTATATGCACAGTTACCTTAGCAGCTGTACTCCAGAAGTACTCCTAAGCCAAATGCCTGCGTCAGGGACTGTTATTCCAGGGATTTCATGTTCCTGACTTGCAGTTTTAGAGTCCAGGACGCTGCCTCTAATAGAAACATGAACTTTCCTGAAGAGCTTTAGAGGACAACATCAGCACAGGGCTGCTAAGATCAGGGCTTCCCCAGGAGAGCTCTTCCAGGCCTAACTGTCCTGGCCGTTCATCCCCGCTGCGTCTCTGCTCTCTCCTGCTGCACCAGCAGCGTGTTTGGCTCTGCCTCAGCCCAGGAGGATGGAGGGCTCTGCCCAGCAGGGACCCTCAGGCCTGTCCAGCACGGGGCACCGCAGCAGTGAGCGCCGAGGGGACAGGCTCTGCCGTGCGCTCCGGGCAGATGCACGTGCAGGGATTTCCTCGCAGCGGGCAGGGAAGCTATGGCATCCCCCACCCACCACCAGGTGCCCTGGCCCACAGAGCACTGTCCGAGCTGGAATTGTGGCCTAGGGGAGGTGCTGCTTGGTCCTGGGAAAATCCCACCTGATCCCCCCCTGCCCACAGCCCCAAACCAGCTCGGACACCCCGCAGCACGGCTTCCTTCCCGCTCTCCTCCATTGCTCCGGCAGGATGCAGATCCCATCCGCTCCCCCTTCCCAAGAGACCCCCCCAACAGGATCCTTTCCCAGCGGCGCCCACCCACGGGCACGACACGACCCCCACCCCACCAGACCCCAGCCCCTCGCCAGCCAGGAGCCTCCCCGCGCTCCTCCCGGAGCCCCTTGTGCAGAGAGCCCTTCCCGTGGGAGCGGGGAAGAGCCTCCCCCAGCACTGCGGCGGGG